TATCACACACATGCGGATGACTCCCAGCCCTGCCCTTTCTTGTGAGCTCTGGGTACAGCTGCCCATTGGAGCCCCCCTCCACCAGGATGTCATACGGGCACCTCAAACTCAGTGAGATCCAAATCGAACTCCTCAGAGGCATCATCTGGCCCCCGCCGACTTCTCTGGCCTCACCCTCTCTCCCCATTGCTGTGAGGTATAGCAATACCAGACTGTGGTGGGCTGGACACTAAAGTGGCCTTATAGCTAATTAAATCAACCTCAAATGGTAGGAAACAGAATGCTTTTCAGAGCCTTGGAATAGCAGCTTGGCATAGTGTCACAGTGATTCCATCTGCTTTATGTTCAGAAAGCCTCGTACAGGCCCTGTAGAAACCTTGGGATCTGATTCCCAGACAACGGTAGAGCCCAGTAAAGGGGCTGCATGGACATCCTCCAGGGCCAGGTGTTCTTTATATGAGTAAAGGCGAATGGCCCATCTTCAAGCTCAGCTCAACAGCCACCACCATCTCTGGCACCTGGACACAGCCACACAAAGCTCTAAGCCACACACATTTTCTCATTTGATCCTAACAACCACCCCATGGGTACATATTATTACTTCATTTTTCACAGACGAGGAAACAGAGGCCAGAAATTGTTTCATAGAGGAGAAAACTGAGGCCAAAAAGGGACTTGGCTAAAGTCTCACAGTGAGATGGATATAATTACAGCTTCCACTTCAGTGCTATAAACACCCTTAGTTGTGACACAGATGCTGCGTTGACTTTTAGAGTTGGCCTGCGAGAAGCAACAACTCACAACAGGAAATGGATTTCCCCTCATGCTCTCTCCTCCCTTCTCCTTCATATTCAAAAACGAAGCTTTCTTCAGAAGCTGTGGCTGGCCACTTGCGGAAAAGCAGCACAGACTTCGGGTGTAAGCTATGACAAGGCTGCCAGTTGGACGAGGAATCCATGTTGCAATCATCTCTCCCACAGTGCTTGAGCAGATGGTCTTCTACCCGCATCACCCAACTGGGAGTGAAGAAACCATTACAGCTTCTGGCACTTCTCCAGAGTTTCCCAACAAAACTTACAGGGTTGTACAACACTGTCATCAGAGCCAATACTTGCCATTCCTGAGCCCATGGCAGACATAACTAATGGATCACAGGACTCCTTCCCACAAAGCTAGAAAAACAGCCTATCCCAATGCAGCAATCCATGCAGCTGCAATCAATCGACTGGAGTTGGTACATGCCACCAAACCTAGTTAACATGTCATCTTATTGCATGCCAGGCCCGTTGCTAGGAGATGCAGAGATGAATAAAACATTGTCTCTGCCCTCAAGTCTGGAGGCAGGATACTGGTAGGAGCTGGGAGGAGACAAACCTGTGGACACATATTTAGTATAACCTGGTTAAGTATAAAATTGGGATTAAATGTATGAACACTGTATTGTGGAAGCATATACAAAGCAATGACTAATTCTGCCTAGAAGAGGTGGGTCTTGAAGGATAAATAGGAGTTGAATAGTCCAAGCAAAGTGGGAAGGGTATTTCTGGCAAAGGCACTAACATCTACTAAGGCTTGGGACCCAGAAAACACTGGAACGGATGTAAGGAGAGGAAAACCTATACTCGGAGTGGGAAGGACCATTTTCCTGCAGCTTTCTAAGCCATAGATAGATACATCATCTGTAAAAATGGTAATAGTACCTACCTCATAAGGTTGTGGTGAGGATTCAATAAGATGATGTATGTAACACCCTCATATAGTACCTGGTTCAACAAAGCCAACTCCTATCGATGTCTCCAGAATACTAAGGGGCATGAAGCTGATCTTTGGCAACTGAGCCAGAAGAGGCTTAAAGTAGAGGAACATCACCAGGTTTTTAAAAATTTTCTATTTCTCATGATAAACATACATGTTTATACTAGAAGAGTTGAAAATATTTTAAAAAGAAAAAGAAGAAAAAAATCTTAGCTCACCCCTTCTACCCAGAGAGAACCTCTGTTAATATTTTGGTGCAGTGTCTTCCGGTCTTCACTCAGTACAATTCTTTTCTATACCTATGACCACATCATATGAACAAAAAGTTCTCTGATTTTTTCACATAAAACTGAAGACATAAGCAGTTTTCTATATTATTACAATCTCTTTGAATGTATCATTTCAATGGCTAGTATTCTTGAGTGGATCAATTGTAATTTACTCAACCACCTCCCCACTGTTGGATAAGGAGATTCTCTACAATTTTTATACAGTTGTCAATAATGTCATGGAGAATATCTTGGCACATAAGAGTTTTTTCTGTACTTCAAATTACTTCCTTAGGATAGGAACTCAAAGGAATTAGAGAATTTAAGGGTTTTGATGCAATGTTACCCAACTGTTTCCCACAAGGGTGCCTTCACACTCCCTCAGGAGTGTCTGTTTCACGCAAGCCTTATCATCTTTGGGCATTCTCATTTGAAACCAAATCTCTGCGAATGTGTCAGCCACAAAGAACAAAAGCAGAGGCCCAGCAGTCCCTTCATTATTCAGAAGCTGAAGAAGAGCTCACATGTGTGTCTCATGCACAGTTCTGGGTGACAACCTCTCTGTGCGTGGTTTTATCCCATTGTTTGATGGATGGGGGCAAGATCTTAAGTTGTATTCAAACATATTTAAAATATTAGCCCTTTGTCACATTTTAAAGGAATATTTTGTTTGTTGTTTGCCTTTTAATTTAAGTTTTTAATTCTGATGGAATTAAACCTACAGATCTTTTCTTCTGCAATCACTTCTTTCCCCTAAGGATTTGAAAGGGCAGGAATTTTTCACTCCCCCTGGGTAAGTCACCTCTCTCTCTCTCAACCTCAACTTCCTCATCTTTGAAGAGGGTGGGTAGGCAAAGATGTAATCTCTTGGCTTCCTTCTAGGTATAGAGTCTTGGACTCTGGACTCCACAGTGTGGCTCAACACTGCCAACCCTCTCCACATGCTCTGGGGCCCCAGTTGGGGAATTCTTTCTCCTTGAGGAGTTCATTTATTCATTCAACTACCACCTTCTGAGCACTTCCCATGTGCCAGGCATGCAGCAGTGAAGAAAACAAAGCCCCTGCTATCACTTCTAGTTAAGAGAGACAGATAACAAAGAAACAAGAAAGTTACAATTCAGATGGTGATATATACTATGGAAAAAAATAAAATGAGATAAGGGGTTAGGGAGTGCCGGGAGATGCGGGAGGGGAGTTGCTATTATATAGAGAAGGGTCAGGTGACATTTTTGCAGAGACCTGACAGAAGTGAGGGAGTCAATCAGGTGGAGATCTGGGAGAAGAGCATTCCACGTAGAGGGAACAACATATGCAAAGACCCGGAGGCAGGAGCCTGTTGGACAAGTTGGAGAGGGAGCAAGGAGGCCAGGGAAGCGAGAGCAAAGGGAACACGAGGGATGGAGTAGGGGGGAGGGTCAGAGAGAGGTAGGTGGTCTCAGGGCCTCATAATGACTTGGCTGTTACTGGATGAAATGGAAACCAGTGGATGGTTGTGAGCAGAGCAATGACCTGATTGTAGGTAGGTTTTAAAGGAGTTAGAAGAGGCCTCTAGTCTAGTGGACCCCACAGGCTCCAGCTCATGGATGAGCCGCACCCTGTCCCATTCCCAGCTTGGCCTGACCTCTCTCAGTCTTAGTTCTTTATCCAGGAAATAATTCTTAGGTTTCAGACGGGCACCCCACCTCACTGCAGCTGATCTAACCGGGTTAAGCTCTTGTGTAGGTGGTGGGGAGGGGAGGGAGCCAACCCAGGGGCTTGTATGTTTAATGTGGAATTTCCTATCTCTAGGAAGACCACAGAGTGGTGATGGCCGGGTGGGGTGGGGGGCGTCATTCAGTTCACCAGTACTAGCCAGCACCTCCCTACTCTGAACCTGGAAGTCTTTCTGGCTCAGGGGCGGTGGGGAATAGTCAATAAGCCAGCAACAAGCCCACGCACAGTCACGGTGGCCCAAAACAGAGCACTCACTACCCCAAGAATCAGGCCTGTGGATTACAGCACAGGGCCTGCCCCCAGAAATCCATTCGGCTGTCCTATTGTCAGGGAAGGTGGTCATTCCTGCTCTGCTCCTCCCAGACCAGACCAGGCCCCTGAATTAGCACTCCTGGAGTCCCACAACTCCTCTCCTTTAAAGCACTTTCCACAGTTGAGATCTTACATGAATTAGTAGGATTCTTTGATGTCTCTCCCCATCCATTCTAGAAACTATAGGACCTGGTACAGGCTTTGTCAGTTTCCTTCAGTGCTGTGTTCCAAGAATCCTCTGCATGGTGCCTGGCACATAAGGACAGCTCAATAAGTAAATAAGGGAGAAAGGCAGGTAATGGTATTCTCTTTTACAAGCAATAAAACAGGCCCAGAGAGGAGGTCTGACTGCCTTCTGGCTCAGTTCCTATAGTGACAGCACCCAGGAGCATAGGGCCACACCTAAGGGCCTCTCAGGCCCTTCATGGTCTTCTCCTCCTCCTATGCTCCTCCAAGGCCCTGCGGAGCCATACCCCAGCCCCAGAAACACGACTAGTTTCCCAGGAAAAGATCCTAGGGCAGGAGTGGAGCAAGCGACAGCCTACTAATAACAGTAGCACCTACAACGTACCAGACACGTTCTTCCACAGCAACTCTTTAAGGCAGGTTCTATTAGCACCTCCATTTTAAAGATGAAGAAACTGAGGCAGAGGGAGGTAAGCGGCATGCCCAAGATACTAGCAGAGCCTAGGTAACCAAACCAAGGCAGTGGAGCTCGAGGCTGCCCTCTTATCCCCTCCCAGTAGCTTGTTACAGCACAGAGCATCAGTGGAGGCATCAGGAGTCATGTGCTTCTAGCTTGGCCTTGAGCTCCTGGCCTCTCCCACGACCTCGCCAGCCCAGAGCCCTCGGCAGCCTAGAGCCGGCGGGCAAGAGCCGGCGGGCAAGACTGAGCGGGACCGCGTCCCTGGCTCCGCCCCGGCCGTCGCTTAAAAAGGGACACTCGGCGCAGGCGCAGAAAGCTCCGCCTCCTGCCCCGCGCCGGCGCCGACACGAACGCGCATGGAGGGGCGCGCGAGCCCCCCAGGCGCATCCCGCGCCCGCTACGTGGCGACGGTGCTGTGTCGAGGGCCTGTGGAGCCGCTCATTTTCCTTGCCAACTTCGCCTTGATCCTGCAGGGCCCGCTCACCACGCAGTACCTGTGGCACCGCTTCAGTGCCGACCTCGGCTACAATGGCACCCGCGACAGGGGCAGCTGCGGCAACCACAGCGCGAACCCCACCATGCAGGTAGCGGCGGCCGGGATGAGCGAGGAGCGTGGCAGGGAGCGGGCCTCGGGCTGAGACCGTGGGGACAACGGACGGGGCGGGGCCTGCGTAAAGGTGGGGGGCAACCCAGAGGGTTCTGGATTTTGGGTGGTGGGCGGGGCCCGAGCAAAGTTGCGGCCTGACGGAGAACTGCTGTGTGGGGATGCGCCAAGTTGACTTAGCTAAAGCGAGGCCTGGAGAGTTAACAAAAGGGAGTAAAAGTAAGAGAATGGGCCCTTGGTCCATTTCCCTTACCCCCGCGGCAGTGTCAGTTGTGCTGAAATTCCCTGAGGTTTAGGGCTCCAAAGAAAGTCCTCATCCCTGTATCTCCCAGGATGGTGATGGTTTAGGGGGTGGGCAACCCGGAGTGGAGCGGCACCCTGGTAAGACTCATGCCCCTACAGGAAGTGGAGACCCTTACCTCCCACTGGACCCTCTACATGAACGTGAGCGGCTTCCTGGTGGGGCTCTTCTCGTCCACCCTGCTGGGCGCCTGGAGTGACTGTGTGGGCCGCCGCCGGCTCCTGGTGCTGGCCTCCTTTGGCCTGCTGCTCCAGGCTCTGGTGTCCATCTTTGTGGTGCAGCTGCAGCTTCATGTCGGCTACTTCGTGCTGGGCCGCATCCTTTGTGCTCTCCTCGGTGACTTCAGTGGCCTCCTGGCTGCTGGCTTTGCCTCCGTGGCAGATGTCAGCTCCAGCCGCAGCCGCGCCATCCGAATGGCCCTGCTGGAAGCATGCATCGGGGTGGCGGGGATGCTGGCGAGCCTCCTTGGGGGCCACTGGCTCCGGGCCCAGGGTTACGCCAACCCCTTCTGGCTGGCCTTGGCCTTGCTGATAGCCGTGACTCTCTACGCAGCATTCTGCTTTGGTGAGACGGTGAAGGAGCCGACACATGCTCGGCTCTTCACTTTCCGTCACCACCGATCCATTGTCCAGCTCTACGTGGCTCCGGCCGCGGAGAAGTCCAGGAAGCATTTAGCCCTGTACTCATTGGCCATCTTTGTGGTGGTCACTGTGCACTTTGGAGCCCAGGACATCTTCACCCTCTATGAACTGAGCACCCCCCTCTGCTGGGACTCCAAGCTGATCGGCTATGGTTCTGCGGCTCAGTACCTCCCATACCTCACCAGCCTGCTGGGCCTGCAGCTTCTGCAATACCACCTGGCTGACACCTGGGTGGCCGAGATTGGCCTGGCCTTCAACATCCTGGGGATGGTGGTCTTTGCGTTTGCTACCATCACACCCCTCATGTTCACAGGTAAAGTGTGTGGGCTCAGGGACAGTTTGTCCCAGAGGTGCTGGGTGAAAATTTTGGGCCAGCCACTTGCTGCCCCCAAACGTGGTTCATGCCTGTGTCTGAAAACATCGTTATGTTCCCAGCCTGCACTGGAGGACAGACAACTAAGAAACCTTAAAGATGCCATCTTCGTCATACAGAAAATATAGACCTTCAATAGCCAAATTAATTACTCCACATTATGAACCATAAATATTGTTAGTAAGATGGAGCAAAAGACAAAAGTATGGCTCATACACTAATTGCTTTACTCCTTGGCTTCACACAGCCTGTATTCATGGTGTTTTTAAACAAAGTCCATGCCGTTAATGCCTTAATACTCACTTCTCTGGTAAGAATCACAGGATCTACCTTAAATATCCTTGGTCAGCTTCTTTGGGTTTTTTAAAAAGCCAGTCTTCTCAAACCACAGATATCAAATTCCTGCTTGTGTTAGTTCTTCTCTTCTTCCTTTTTTGTTTTTTTTTTTGGCAAGAGAGGGGCGGCTGGGAATGAGGAAATGAACTTTTTTAAAGGAACAGATTTATTTTGATAGAGCCCTAAGATATGTTGTGTACAAAGTCAGCTGTTCAGTAATCACAGATGTCTTAACATGGCTGCTTGCCTGGACGGCGACGCTGAAGGGGACCAGATGCCTTCCTCTCCTGCCCACGGCATCTCCCGTGGGCTCGTGCTGGGCTCGTTGCCCTCAGGGGTACAGAGATGATGAAGACACTGTCATTGCTCTGGGGAGCCTCAGCACAGTGGGATTTGGGGGCCTGACCCCTGAAGCTGCCCTGGCGTGGCTGCCTCATGGTATACCCACTTTGGAGGGTCCACTTTCCTCTAGGAGTTTGCAGTTTTGCTAGGGAGGCAGCAGTCACATGAGGGATGGAAATGGTTATGAAGGAAACAGTGTAAGCCCGTGAGTAAACGCAAAGGGAAAAGACACTCGCATTTACTGCGTACCTACTATGCCACGTTCTTCACGGAGGTTACCTCGTGCATTTGTTTTCTGTGGCTGCTGTAACAAATTATCACAAACTTGGTGGCTTAAAACAACAGAAATTTATTCTCTCAGAGTTCTGGAGGCCAGAAGGCAGGACTCAGTATCACTGGGCTGAAATTAAGGTGTTAGCAGGGCCACACTCCCTTTGGAGGCTCTGGGAGGGAATCTGTTCCTCGCCTCTTCCAGCTTCTGGTGGCCGCTGGTGTTCCTTGGCTTCTGGCTGCATCACCCTGATCTCTGCCTCTATGGTCACATGGCCACTCTGTCTGTGTCAGTTCTCCCTCTGCTTCCTTCACATAAGGATTCGTGTGATTGCATTTAGGGCCCAACCTGATAATCGGGGATAATCTTGAGATGTCAAGATCATTAACTTAATCGCATCTGCAAAGACTCCTTTTCCAAGGAAGGCAACATTTGTAGGTTCCAGGGATTAGGACTTGATATCTCGGGGGGCCGTTATTCAGCCTCCTATACCCCAGAGCCATCCTGTAATGAAGGCCTCATTATCCTTTTACAGAGAGGAGTCAGGCCCAAGGCCACACAGTGAGTAAGCGATGGCACTGGGTTTTGACCTCGGGGCTGACTCCAAAGCCCAGGCTGTGTTCTGTGCCCTGCCGCCTCCCTACTGAGTGCCAGGTGGGTGGGTGACACCTGCTGTGACCACAGATGTTCTGATGAGAATGCAATTGGTGGGAAATCAGCATTCACTCATGAAAGAGAGAGCAGGTAGGCCAGGCCTTGAGAGGCAGAGGGGTAGTCTCCATTCCTCCTTGGTCATTGTCTCCTTCACCATCAAGGAGGTTCTTCCTTTGTCTAACATGAGTCCCACATGGGGTATGTACAGGATACATTTTGCTGCATCTCGCTTGGGCACCCTTCTCCCCAACCCCATTTTCTTGACGATTGTTTCTTCTCCACAGGGTACGGGCTCCTCTTCCTGTCGTTAGTCACCACACCCGTCATCCGGGCCAAGCTCTCTAAGATGGTGCTCCAATCAGAGCAGGGTGAGTGTCAAGGTCAGCCTGCGTCTGGCTCATCACGCCTGGTGTTGCCTGAACTGGGCAGAGGGCAGCTGCAGGCCAGGAGGCAGCTTACCTTCCCCCCTCCCATGCTGGAGAAGTATGTAGCTGAGACAAGTGCACTTCTGTCAGGTTGCCCAGGGCTGGCAGAGGACCACAGCGCCTGGATTTTCAGACCACAGAGTTGGAATTTGCAGTCAGCAGAGCTGACTCTAGTGTTCTTTTGGGTAACCCAAACAAGGATTGACTCTCCAGACCTCAGGTTTTCCATCTGTAAAATGGATGTGATGATGCCAGAGTTCCTGCTTCACTGGGGTCAGAGCATACAAGCTCAGAGGAAGCAAACAACCTTGTGGTGTAGGTTGCGTTGTCCCCAGGTGACAGATGAAGAAGCAGAGGTCCCGAGGGTTAAATTGACTCACCCAAGGTCACAGTAAGTGGTGGAGCTAGGATGCAAACCCACGTCTGTTTTTAAGAGCAGCAGGTCTTGGGATTTGGGTTTTAGTCCTGGCTCCCTCCCCCACTGGCTGTGTGATCTTGGGCAGGTCCCTTTCCCCCTCTGGGCCTGTTTCCTCATCTGTAACATGAGTGGTTTGCTCTTGATGACATCTAGAGGCCCTTCCAGCTCTGACAGTCTGACAGAGTTTAATTTCAACTTCTGTTGGGTTGTTGCTCATTTTGCAAAATTTGGGTTCTGCTGGCATATCTATAGAGAATAGCTACTCAGGCCTCTGGGTCTTTAGACCCCAGTCTGGAAACATCTGGCTCATGTGCTTTTCCCCATCTGCCCTGTTAGGAGAATCTGGTGATGCCAGAGGCTCTGGTGCCATATATAGCCCACCATGGGTTCTGTTGTCCTCTGAACCCAGGTGCCTTCATTCATTCACTCAATGAGCTTTTTTTCCTAGCACCTTCACTGTGCCCAGAGATGCCAAGAGGAACAGGAGAAAAGAACAGCCCTTACTAACTGGCTACCTCCAAGGGGCCAGGCCCTGTGATGGGTGCTTTACATGTGAATTTAATGTTGCCACCAGCCTCTGAAATAGGTATTATCCTTATTTAACTGAAGGGGGATGGAAACCCAGAAGGATAGGTGACTTATTCAGTGATCACACAGCTAATAAGTGTTGGAACTGGGATTTAACCTACCGGTTAATCCCAAACGGGAGGTGACTCCAAAGGGGATAAACCAAAAACCATTTTCATCAGGCTTTTGCTAGAAGATGTCATATGTATTTTTAATACATGGATTTAATAACAGCCATTTGTGCCATAGTCCCTGTGTGCCAGGTGCTTTCCACGCATGACCTCACTAAATCTTTCTCACAACACATGATGTAGGATTTGTAGGTAAGGAAGGTGAGACTCAGAGAGGGGAAGTGACTTGCCCCAGGTCACACAGCTATGAAGTAGTGGTGCTAGGATTTGAATCCGGTCTTTCAAATTCCAGACTGTGCTATTTATTTCTTCACAGGTGCTCTCTTTTCTGCTGTGGCCTGTGTGAATGCGTTGGCCATGCTGACAGCCTCTGGCATCTTCAACTCGCTGTACCCAGCCACCCTGAACTTCATGAAGGGGTTCCCCTTCCTCCTGGGCGCTGGCCTCCTCTTCATCCCGGCCATTCTGATAGGGTAATGCAGGGCTCTGACCCAAGCTCCTAATGCCCTGTATCCCAATGGTTTCTTCTTCCTCCTTCTCCTCCCAACCAGAAATGGCAGTCTCAGTCCCAGCCTGACCTCCCCTTGCAGATGGCTGCCTAACCCTCTGGGAGCCATTTCCCAGGGGCAAGGCAGAGGGCGGTAGGGAAGGGTCAGGCTGACATTGCTTTTTGGCAAGGCTATGTTCTCTTCCCCAGTTGCCCTCATCCCCCCCATTCCTATTTTACAGATGGTGGCAGAGATGTGCCAAAGGGAAGCCCAGAGAGCTTCCTCGGCTACTTGTGGCTGGGCCACAGGCTAGCCTGGCCCACTGACTTCTTCCCCTATAGCCTTAAGAATCACTTTCCAGAACCCTCTGTCTCTGGACATTGTCTTCCACCTCTCAGCTTGGGGAAGGGGATACCTGTACCAGCACACCCATTAGAGCCTGTGTCACTTCTCCAGGAGTTGAGGGTCCCCCCATGTCAAATCTGAACCCTCTCTCTGGTCTCTCACAGGATGCTGGAAAAGGCTAATTCTCAACCTGAATTCCAGCGGTTTCCCCCTAGCCCCTGATCTGCCTGGACCAGAGGACAGAGGGCAAGAGGAACGAAGTGAGCACTCACCAGCTGGCAGCAGGCATCTGGGATCCCAGCTCCCAGCAGCACCGGCAGCTCCCCTCCAAGGGCAGTGTTCACCTTGGACATGGTGGTCAAGCTAGACCAAGGTCCCTACCTCATCCACAGCTGTGCCAGCCTATGACTCTAGGATCCAGAGTTGTAACCCAGTCGCACCCCGGGGCAGTCAATGGGGAAGCCATTTGGAATAGAGTCTTTTTACCCTTTATGCCATCAATCACGTAGAACCCTCCAGGGGAGAGAAGAGGTCCTGATGGAGGTGAGGACTCAGGGGCCAGTTGAAGCATGAGGGCTGCCATCTCTGCTTCCAGCCAACACTGCACAGCTCACAGTGCTGTGAGTGCAGTGCAGCCACCAGTCACTCCTTAGTGATGAATATGGTGCCCAGTTGGTGCCGGCTTTGTGGGGAGGAAGGGTTGCGGGAGGGACTTGGTGCCCTCTGGAGGGAGAGTGCTGCCGTCTCTGGGTGGGAATCAATCCCCTGGGCTTCACAGTGCCAAGTGTAATAATAAATCCGTATACTCACGCTGAAATGAACCTTCTGGCCAAGGCATTGGGGTGTGGGCCCTCTGTTTTCCTGTTCCCAGTCTGCCCATCATAGGTCAGATGGCAGCAACTGCTGGGCTGGGCAGGAGCCCCTGAGCTGCCAGGGATTCATACTGGGCATGGCCAGCTGAGACCTCATCTGGCTGCCCATTCTCTTCTCCCGAGCTGCTGGGAGATGAAGGGCATCAGAGAGGCTCGGAACAGAGCCCTGGCCGCTCATTCCTTTTTTTGTTTGTTTGTAAGGAAGATCAGCCCTGAGCTAACATCCGTGCTAATCCTCCTCTTTTTGCTGAGGAAGACCGGCTCTGAGCTAACATCTATTGCCAATCCTCCTCCTTTTTTTTTGCCCAAAGCCCCAGTAGATAGTTGTATGTCATAGTTGCACATGCTTCTAGTTGCTGTATGTGGGACGCGGCCTCAGCATGGCCGGAGAAGCAGTGAGTCAGTGCACGCCCAGGATCCGAACCCGGGCCGCCAGTAGCGGAGTGCGCGCACTTAACCGCTAAGCCACGGGGCCGGCACTTGGCCGCTCATTCCTAAGGGTCAGTCGGAGAGCCACTCCTTGAAGGCACCTGTGCTGGTCTTCCTGGCTACACCAGCCCAAGAAGAATCAGGTTTTGTTACACTCAGCCCTCTGACACCTCCCATCACTGGGTATTTCAGCAGGGCCATGTGCTGAGACCATCCCTCATGCATCTGTAGGTCAACGGGAACCTGGAGATAGACGCGACTCCCCATATGGTGCAGGGGCCCCAGCTTCCCAGAGAATGAGGGGCCCATTTTTGGGCATTAGGAAAGCCTGGACCTGAAGTTGAAAGGCAGAATCGGATTCAGTATTAAGGCACTGGCTTTGATGAGGGTGATAAGCCCCCAAGCAGACTCAAATCAGGGGTACTTGACTCTTTAAGCCAGAATTGGCCACAAGGATTGGCCCCATGCCGCCATTTCTACTCTCATTCTCTCTCATCTGTCCTGCCGGCCAGTTTCCTGGCTGGAAATCATGCAGGTATAATGGGGGTGCCCCAGGGCACACCAGGGTCAGCTGTGGCCTCTGCAGCTGGGCCTGTTTCCAGATTCCCATCTCACTGTCCCCTCTGTCATTGGGAGACCGAAGCAAGGAGGCCTCCACTGACTGTCCCAGCATGAGGCAGTGAGGTGGGTAGGGAAAAGGCCCGGGGCTGATCTCCGGGCTGGGCTGTACTCCAGGCACTGCCTCTGACTTGTGTGTCACCTTGAGGAAGCTGTTCTATGAAGGGTTAGATCAGCCATGCCCCAAATTGTCTGATCGTGGTTGAACAAGTTAGGAAACACTGGATTAGATCATGTTCTGAGATTCTAGAATGAGATGCCTCTCTTCATGGGCCTGGGGGAAGGATGAATGAGTTGGAGCTGGACTTTTAACCATTGGGTGTCCCTGAGCAGTTCTTGGTCCCAGGGAGGGGTGGGGTGAGGTGGGCTGACCTAGCTGACTCAGCCCCGACCTGGGGGCAACAGCTACAGCCCATCCAAGCAGAAAAGCCTGACCCTGCAGACCCGTGTCAGAGCAGGCTTTGCAGGGGAGGCCATTTCTCAGCCCTGTTTCAGGACCAGCCCTGTGGGGCCAGGCCTAGGTGGAAGGTGAGGGCCAAGGTGCCTGGCCTGGCTGCGATCTGGGCAGTTTGTCATGGCAGGGGAGGCAGTCCCCTGAACACACTAGTCTGGCTGGGGGGAGGGTCATCACTTCAGCTGCCCTGGCGGAGGCCAGAGGCTGGACTCCAATTCCCCAGAGAGACAGGAGGGGGGGACAGCAGTGGAGGGAGTACCAAACAGATCAACAGGGCCGGGAAACCTCTGAATACTGCCCATGGGGCCCTCAGGAGGGAGTAGGACCAATTGGCAGCAAAAAGACAGAAAGCTTCCTCTGCAGGATGCTCATCACACTGTATTATTATTGTCTCTGATCTGTGAGGGCAACGTCCAGCCTGCCTCAGTCACTGTCATATCCAGGGCTGGGCACTGGTGGGCTCTCGTGTGGCATGAAGGAAGGAGCAGTCAAAGCCAGAGCCGGGACCAGGACCGGCAAAGACAGTCTCTCGGGCAGGGAGGGGAGTGGAAGGAAGGAGTCCCAAGCCTGGAGTGAGACCTTTGACTTTCTGATGATGTAGCTCAAGAGCTAGGAGTGACCGGGTCAGCACCTGCGGGAGGCAGCTCTGGGTGCTGAGCCAGCCTTGAGGTGTGACCCCAGTGCCCTCAGGAGGAAAGAGGCAGGGCACGTTCCAGCTGACCCCATTAGCTGAAGCCTGCGTTAATAAACCCAGGAGGGAGGGTACTTTGTTGCTGTCCTACCCTAGTGGAGGAAGGGGCAGAGGGACATTCCTGCTCATTTATTTCTGTATAGCCCCTGGGTCAGCCTTTTCATTGCAAAAACCTGTTTCCCATTACTAGATTCTTTGGGGCAAGGGAGAAGCCAGCTGTCTGTGTAGCAACAGCCCTGCCCGGGGTGCAGCCTCCAGGATGATTCTCAGGAAAGCAGTCCTTCTGGCAGTGGACTGAGCACCAGGAGGTGAGGTCTGGAGCCTGGGGCTGCCACTACTGACTCGGGAAGCTGGGCACGTCATTCAATTCCTTCTCTGTAGAATGGAGATAATACCAGGTAGGGTTACTCTGCTGATCACAGAGACCATGGAGTGGAGCGTTGGGGAAATGGCCAAGATTCGTGAGGGATGTGTGTTTCAGAGTCTTGCTACTTAAAGTGTCATTCCTTGACCACCAGCATTAGCTCACCTGGGAATTTGTGAGAAATGCAGAAACTCAGGCCCCGCCCCAGGTCTCCTGAAAGGAATTTTAACAGAATTCCCAGGTGATTTGAATGCACCCCTCGCCCTTCTTCAGGATCTTGCCTCTTCCCATGGAGCTGCAGGTTCTGCCCAGGCTACTGCTGCTGCTGCCATAGCGGGCTGCCTCGCCCCGCCTGCCCCTGAGCAAGTGGGCCGGCAGCCTTGGGTGGGTGAGGGGCTGGGGAAGCTAGGTGGGCAAGTGGGGCAGGAGCCTGAGGCACAGCACCAAGGCGTGGGTAGGGGGGCTAGCTGCCCTTTGAGACTCGGCCTCCCCTGCCCAGGCCCAGGCCCAGGCCCAAGCAGGGGGGTCCCGTGCACCAGTGAGGGCAGCGAAGCTGGCCGCAGCTGCACACCAGCCAGAGTGGGGACCAGCTCAGCCCACCCCTGACCCTGGATGTGGCAAAGGAGGCTGCACCTGAGGAAGGCTGAGAGAGGACTCGGGACCAGGCCAGGCTGGCTAAGGGCACTGAGTGGTTACAGAGCAAGGCCACAAGGTGGCAGGAAGTGGTGAGCCCAGGGGCCAGGCACAGCTGAGGTGACTGGGAGAGCCATCACTGGACTCTCATCCCCAGCTGGCTCCTGAGCCCAGGCCTTTACTTGGCTGAGAGGGCTGAGCATTGCCCTAATTCCGTCAGAGGTCCTCCCCCTACTCAGGCTGGCTGCTGTCAGGGCGGGAGAGGGGGTAGTTTGCAGCAAACCCTTGATCTCCAGTGTCTCCCGAACTGAGCAGTGACCCTCCCACACCTGAGACAGAGAACCTGGTGACAGGGCCTGGGGAGCTCTAACCTTAGCACCCCCAATGCCTGGCTTCCCTTCCTTTCCAGACACTGAGGAAGCTGGGTTTGAGGTGAACCGTGAGGGTGGGGGAGAGGGAAGAGCCGTTTCCTAAGAAGGGCCCAGACTGTCTCAGTCCAGGGAGGCCAGTGTGAAGAGCTGCTCCTTCAGGGGGGACAAAGGAAATGGCAACAGCAGGGCTCAGGAACTAGGCAGTGGTTAAGTCGGGCCCATGGGTGCGGCACCCTCCAAACTGGTGTCAGAGCCTGCAGACGAGTCCCGGGAGGAGCGGCCCTGCAGGAAGCGGATGATCTTCTCGATGGTGGCCTCCTGGTACTCATGGGACCACCTGTGGGCACAGAGGCTGGTGGGTCAGGGGGCTGGGCAGAGGGAGCTGCTAGCTGGGGGGCCTGTGTGCCCGCCCCCTCCCCTTACTTGATGCCGTTGAAGGTGAGCACAGCCTGTATGTCCTCAGGCAGGGCCTGGGGCTCCGGCCACTCGAAGCCATCAATGACGGGCACAATGTTCTTGCCACAGCTCAAAGCAGTCGCGATCTCCTGGAGGAAGAAGAGAGAGGAGGAGGAGGAAGAGACCCGGGTCCCCATCCAGGGACCCTGGGACCAGGTAGACACTGAGAGGGCCAAGAGCCCGAGGCTGAGCCCAGGGTGGGATGCTGGTCCTGAAGTCCACCTTGACTTCTCTCTTACCCCTTGTGGTATGATAAAAAATAAATATTTGGTCTTTGTCCCAGATTCTTGGCATAGAGCTCCTAAAACCCTTGGAATCTCCAGATGATGGTGTGGTGGGGTGCCTAGATAGCTTCAGGATGGGAGCTGGTCACCAGGAGGACCAAGCTATGACTAAAGCGCTGGAACTTATGCCCCCACGCTGACCCCCACACCTCCAAGGAGGGGAGAGGGGCTGGAGATTGAGTTCAGTCACCAATGGCCAACGACTTAATCATGCCTACATAATGAAACCTCCATAAGGATGGGATGGGTTGGTGAACACATCTAGGAGCTGGGAGGGTGGCCTGGAGAGACGGTGGAAGCTCTGTGCCACCCCTGCCCACGCCACCCACCCCTGCCCTCGGCATCTCTTACATTTGGATGTTCCTGAGTTGTATCCTTTATAATAAACTATTAATAGTTAAGAAAAGTGCTTTCCTAAGTTTTCTGCATTATTCTAGTAAATTATTGAACCTGAGGTGGGCATCATGGGAACTGCTGAATTTGTAGCCAAGTCAGAAGTGCAGGTAGCCTGGGAGCCCAGGACTTTGGACTGGCGTCTGAACTGAGGGCCGATTTGTAGGACTGAGCCCTTAAACCTGTGGTGTCTGCCCCTCACTCTGGGTCGTTAGTAGCAGAATTGAATTGAGTTGTGGGACACCCAGTTGGTGTTGGCGAATTGGAGAACTGGTTGTTGGTGTGGGAAAAATCCCACACAATCTGGTGTCAGAAGAAACACCTCACACCCCTGCATCCAAATTGATCCATCACGAGCCCTGCCAATTGTACTCCTTACTTATTTCTCAAATCCACCCATTTTTCTCTACCTCCAACCCCACCACCACCCTGCTCCAACCCCCTTATCTTTATCCCCCACCAATCTCTCCTCATGCACCTCTGCCCCCTCCAGTTTGTTCTCTACCTTGCCCCTTCACCTGGCTACTCTTTACAAAATGTAAGTCTGATCATGTCACCCCCTACTTAAAACTCTTCAAGACTTCACATGGCTCTTAGAATAAAGTTCAAACCTGAATGTGGTCTGAAGGCCCTGTGTAGTTGGCCACAGCTCACTTCTCAAACTCTACCCCTGCACTGTCCTCCCGGCCACACAGACCTTGCCGCCCTTTAGATTTGCCATTCTCTCCCTGCACAGGGCCTTTGCATGTGCTGTTTCCTCTGTCTAGAATGCTCTTCCCTGCCCCTTCACCTAGCTAATACCTACTCATTTTTCTGATCTGAGCTCAATCAACACTTTCCCAGGGAAGTCTTCCCTCACTTCCCTGACCCTGTCAGATCCCCCTATTACAGGCTCTCATAGGCTCTGCTGCACATGCCACAGTTGCAAATTTAAATTAATTCATGGGTAATTTACTTAATATCTGTCTTCCTCACCAGCCATAAGGGCAGGGACCGTGTCTGGTTTTTACTCTTCTTATATCTCAGCATCTTTCACAAAGCCCTGCCCATAGTCAGCCCTTGCTAAAAACTTTGCAGATGGCTGGATGAATGAATGAATGAGTGAATAAATGAAGAGACAGCAGCATAGCACTTAGGGGCGGCACTCTGGAATCAGCAGATCTGGGTTCACGTCAAGTCTCTGACATAGGCTGTGTGACCTGAGGCAAAAACAACAGGCTCTCAAAGCCTCTGTTTTCTTATAAAACAGGGTTAATGACAGTCCCTGTCATGTAGGATTGTTGGGAGGAGTAGGCAAGTGGTGAGACCGGCACCTAGCATGCCGTGTCTGCTTAATCAATAATACGGGTTATTATTTCCTCCTCTGTAAAGTGGGGGTGATAAACCTACCTCACAAGTTTGTTCTGAGGATACTACTTACTATTAATGGGTGCTCTGGTAAGTGCTTATTGAATGTTTTTTCCCTTTCAAGGGGGAACCACAGGGATTGGACTTCTTGAGTGCAGTTCACTTGTGGTTTTCCATATTGATTACCCACTAAATGTGGCTTCGGGGAAAGGAGTTTTAAAACCAGAGGCAATTAAGCACTAAAAACAACCAAGGAGGGATAATGCAGCCTTTGGGACTGGTCCAAGGCACAGGCTCCCTCCACGTTGCCTGCCTCCTCCCTCTGTGCAGTCTGCTGGGACCACGATGGGTGCCAAGCACCCTTGTGGAGCAGAGCCTTCCTGAGGAAAGAACCTGCATGGCTGCAACCTAGATTGGCTCCTGGGGAACCTCTCCATTTTACAAATGAGAAGAAGGATGCCCAGCGAGGGGAACGGACTTGCTCCCAAGTCACACACACACACTAAGCCCAGGAGGGGCCAGGCCTCTGGCTCAAGCCTTCACATTCCAAGTCCAGGGCAGCTTCAACCAAGCCCTCTGCCTCTCTGCTGAGAATGTGGATGAATTCTGACCCTGCAGAAATTTATTTGGGAATCTTTAGACATTTGTTTCATCCAGAATTACACAGAACCAAAGACAGCACACTGCTCAGTGCAGATTCAGAGGCTGGCCAAGAAAGGAATAATGGCTTCGAGATCACCCAGCTGGTTAAGAATGAAAAATTGATTAGAGTCAAGTCTTCTGACCTGGTGAACCTAGTATCCACTAGGTATGGTTTTCCCTGTCATCTCAGTTTTATCAGAATCGCTCATCTGTTTAATCATTGATTCAGTAAACTCTTCAGGAGCCTACTTTGTACCATGCCTGGTTTTAGGCATCAGGGATACGGTGTGAACAACGCAAGATCTGAGCTCTCATGGAGCTCACAGACACTCCTCTCTTTCTCTCAGAAGGCCACCTGCCACCTGCTCTAGGCCATCAGCCATGATCCTCCAGGTGTCTCTTTAGCCCAGCACCCTCTCCCCTAACAAGCCCAGTACTCAGCCCCTAAAACATGGCCTCTGGGGCTTGGTCCTCTTCCCACTGTCAATCTGGACTGCACTCCAGTGTCAGCGCCTTCTCCCTAAATCCCACTGGCCCGGGATCACTGCCCTCATGGGCTCCCTTTTCCCAGCGCTCTTCTCCCTGCTTTAGGCCCTCCATAACTGGCTTCCACAGTTCTTGTCCAGCCAGGGGTGTGCTGCTAAATGTTTAACTAGCTCTCCAGGGGGGGAAAACAACTAAACAAACAAAACCCTGATTTGTACTGTTTACCAACTTCCTTAGGATAAATACTGCCACCATGGCTGATTTCAGGCTATGCCACCATGGCTGATTTCAGGCTATCAACATGACATCACTGGCTGTAGAGTTGGGAGGAGATGCAGACGATCATCTCTGGTGTCAGCTGAATCCGGTCCTATCCCCCTCCCCTCACACCCCCTCAGATCTGCGCCAGGGAACGCAGTCAGGCCCTGGGAAAGAGCATGGGCTTTGGAGTCAGATAGATGGAGTTCAAAGCCAAGATCTTCTGATTTTCTACATGAATGTGGCCATGGGAAAAATTATTCTACTTCTCTGAGCCTCAGTTTCTTCATCTATAAGATGGATAAAGCAATACCAGTGATGTGCGTAGATTTTTGGCACCGTTCTCATCCCTACTTTTGTTCTTTGCTCATGCTGCTCCCCTGCCTGGGATGCCTTCTCTTCCACTTACCTAAATTCTTAAGACTCTTGGCAGGTCCTGCTTCTTCCATGAAGCCTTCTCTGATTCTCCCGGCCCTCAATGTTTTCTCCCTTCTCCCTATTCCCATGGCAAGTAAGAGGTTTGCCTTCCTGACTTAGCATTGACACCAATTTATACATGATGTAGTCATTCTGGGCATATCCTTGTCTCCTTAGCTGCTTTAGGACAAAAGCCCCATCTCAGATGACTACTGCGTCCCTCAGCCCTGGCCCCAATTCCTACTCACTGATGAGTGATTAATAACCTGCAAATGTGACACAGATCCATCCATCTATTCTACAAGTATTGAATAAGTTTCTACTCTGTGTCAGGCACTGAGGATACAACGGTGAATTAAAAAGTGGTAGTACTCATAATCATTATATTAATAATAATAATTGCTACCATCATAGAGCAGTTACTATAGAGCCAGGCATTCTGCTAAGCACTTCATAAATTTTAGCTCTTTTAATCCTGTAACAATATCCTAGGGAGTTAGGTACTATAATTATCTCACTTTACAGTAATAAACATGAAGCTCACGGGGTTAAGTAACTTGCCCACAGCCAGAGCCAGGATTCAAACTCACAGCTTTGTGCTCTTAGCGATTCCACCGTGCCTGTCACTATGCTCTCCTGCCCTCCTTTCCTCACAGAGACTATTTTTTAAAGCATTTTCATCCCTTTCTGACCCTCACAACAATCCTACAAGGTGAATAGGACAGGTAAGTTATCCCTATTTTGCAGATGAGAAAACTGAGGCTCAGAGAGCCTAAATGACTTGCTAAAGTCCTATTACAGTTGGAGCTGTGGCTCCTGACTTCCAGCTGGGTCATGGAGGTTGCTGGAGTGTGCAGATGAGAAGGAATGGGAAGAGGACCTTGTCCCCTGGGCCACAGGCCAATGCTGGGACTACAGAGGCCAGCACCTACCTTGTGTACCCAGTCCTTGCAGTCATGGTCTTGCATGCACTTGTCCAGTGCCCCGGCCGACAGCACCAGCACGAAGTTGCGGGCTCCCATGACACTCTGGATGAGCTTGTCCTCGAACTTTCCTGCTTCCAGCTTCTCCACATCAATGAAGACATTGAAGCCGTGCAGTTGCAGGTGCACTTTCAGGAGGCTGCGAAGAAGTCCTGTGTCACTGCCCTGGCCTGGCCCCAAGGCCCCAGGCTGCCTGCCCCCACTCACCTGGCCAGCTGGGAGCCTGAGTTCCTGCGGTAGCTGATGAAGACATCTGGGGTGTCCCCACTGGGCTTGCCGCCAGTGCAGGGCAGCGGGGAGTGTAGCATTTCTAAGGCAGGCAAGAGACAGCTTGGTAAGGGTTGCCCCTCCCCATCACTCACCACGAAGGACATCATCCTCTGCCCACCCAGCCTTCTCAGCCCAGCCCAGCCCAGGCAGGGTGGCTTGCTCCAAAAAGGAGCACTGAGGCAGAGAGATGGGGCCTACAGGAAGGAATGCCGCTAACTACTGGTGAGTCTCTCTCAGGAGAGAGGCACTGTGATTTAGGGAGATAGATATGCACCTCCAGCCCTGCCCTTTCTCCTGAACTCCAGACCTGCACAGCCAGCTGCCTGCAGGCACTCCAAACCAACACATCCCAAATCCTCCCATGACCCCCTTCTTCCTAGTTTCCCACCAAAGCCAGAAACCTGGTATCAGCCTCAACTCCTACCTCTGATTCATTCACTCAACAAATATTTACTGTGTGCCAGGCATGATTCTTAGTGTTTGGGATACAGCAGCGAACAAAACAAATCTACCCTGCCCTCCTGGAGCTGACGTCCAGTGCTCAAAGCCAGGCACCGTGCTCTAGGGAGTCTTCCTAGGAAACGTCTTGGGCTCTAGCCCCAGGGCCCTCCCTCTGTCCAGCCCTCAACTCCAGCCTCCTCAGTGGTCTCCCCAAATCCACACTTGCCCAGTTTAATCTGTTTACAGCTACCAGAAGGATCTTTCTAAAACCCAAGTCTGTCATTGCCCCCACTTAAAAAACGTGCATGGTTCCATACTTCCTATAGAAAGGAATTGTAAGCTATTTTTGTCATAGGACCTCCCTGTTTTTAAAAAATGGGATTTTATTGGGAGCTGCAATGTCAAAATGATAAAAGCTGATCTGCCTTGGTTGAAGCAAAAGAATGGAGCCAAAGCCCAGCCCCTCACCCCTGGTAGGAGCTTAGTACATCCTTGCTGAATGAATGGAGGACTAAAAAGAGTCCATCTGCTTATAATATTCAGAGACAACATTTGTCTGTTTATGAAGCAGAAAGAGAGAGGTTCAAATCCCAGTTCTGTTCTTTAATGGCTTTTATAACTTTGGAAAATGTATCTAAATTCTTTACATCTTTGTTTCATCATCTTTAAAATCAACACCCTTGATGGAAATATTCTTTCTCTTTGATTATGATGGTAGTTACACAGGGGTATGCATTTTCCAAAACTCTTCAAACTGAACACTTTTAAGTTAAATTATACCTCTTTTATTTTTAAAAACGTTTTAAAAGTTGATTTAAAAAATTAATGCTCATGGGGCCGGCCCCATGGCTCAGCGGTTAGGTGTGCGCACTCCGCGACTGGCAGCCTAGGTTCGGATCCCGGCGGCGCACCCATTCACCGCTTGTCCGGCCATGTTGAGGCCGCATCCCACATACAGCAACTAAGAAGGATGTGCAACTATGACATACAACTATCTACTGGGACTTTGGGGAGAAAAAGGGAAAAAATGGAGGAGGATTGGCAATGGATGTTAGCTTAGGGCCGGTCTTCCTCAGCAAAAAAGAGGAGGATTGGCATGGATGTTAGCTCAGGGCTGATCTTCCTCACACACACACACACAAAAATTAATGCTCACTGCCTAGAATGGATATAGAGATTAATGAGACAATATCTGTTAAAAACTTAATATAGGGCCTGGCATATAGTAATTAACAATAAATATCAGCTAAATAGTAAATTAAAATAAATTCGGAACTAAAGAGGGCTGCTAGAGTCCTAGAATCCACTTTGCCCTCATGACCTCCCTAAAGCACCTCCAGAACCCAGACTTTGTAAGCAGCTGGCTAACAGGATAAGGCCACTGTCTTCCCACCTGTATCCTATGTATGCACCCTCCATGCTCTGTCTTACCTCCACCCTAGCATATGCTGCTCCCTCTTCCTGCTGCCTTCTCCACCCCCAATACATCCTTCAAGACCTGGTCCAGCATCCTCTAAATGCCTAGCCCCGGGTGGACAGGGTAGGCAGTGCTTCCTCTGGGCTCACACTGGAGTCCTGGCCATGCCTCCTGCCATGGTCACCATCTGTTTATATACCAGCCTTACTCCCACTCTCCTACCCATCTCAGACTGGGAACTTCTTGAGGGCAAAGTGCAACATATACATCTTTGCATCCTCAGAGTCTAGTCTGGCACAGCGCATGTGTTCAATCAATCGGCAGTGAGGCTCTGAGGCCCCACCATGTGTCCCCCCTCGCCCCTCCAGGGCTGGGGCTCCGGCAGTGGTGGGGTCCCACGTGGGCAGGCTGACCTCTGGCGGCTGAGATGATGCGGGAGCGGTGCACGCCCAGGCGGATGCCGCAGTCCTCCAGGAGCTGCTGCTCGGATACGCGGTGCAGCAGGGAGCGGTCCAGGCCGCAGCTGACCAGGCCGTACGTGTACTGGCGGAAGCGCGGGTCCAGGCTGCCCAGCCAGTCAGCCAGGTTGCTGCGGTCGCATGTGGCGTAGTTGGCGAAGGTCTTGAGCTCCGTGAGCTCCCTAAAGAATCTGCACCCCAGGGACGAGAGGACGCTGAGGCCTGACTCGGAACTGGCTAGTGGCGGAGGGGGCATTTAGTTAGACCTGGCGGGGGTGGGGGCGGGCAGGAGGCTCCGTACCTCTTGCGGGTGATGCCCGACTTCATGCCCAGGTCGGTCTGGAGTTCCTCCTCCGTGAGCCGCAGAAGCAGGTCGCCATCTACCTGTTGCTCCTGGGAGAGGGGTCAGACTTTGGACCCCAAGCACAAGATGCAAGGGGAGGCAACTGGCGACGGCGATGGGGGAGGCGGATGGGACCCATATTAGAGCCGAGTGACGACCCCTCAAGTGGCTGAGTACAGGCTCCCCACCCTCAAAAGGCCACCCTGCCGCCGCGGGTGTGCGGGCCAGGAGGGGGAGCAGTCGCCTGCGTGCAGGGCGCCCCTAGCGTCCGCGCGCCCTCGGGGATGCGCCGGCCCTGACTCCGGGGAGGCGGCCCCGCGCGGCCCTACCCGGCCCTACCCGGAAGCTCTCGCAGTACTGGGAGAAGCCGATCTGCTGCAGCCACGTCTGGACTTCGGCCTCCTTCCAGCTGGCCACGCAGGGCAGGATGGGCCGCGGCACCTCCTCGCCCAGCAGGCGCAGCGCGCGCTTGGCCAGCGCCGACGTGGTCCCATTGGTGGAGTAGGAAACGAGGCGTTTCAGGCTCTGGATGGCGCCAATGTCGCTGAATACCTAGAGAAGGGGTGGGGATGAGGGTGTCTTGGAGCCACCAGCTCGCCAGCTGCCCCCAAACGTACCCACTCCCTTCCCTCGCCTCGTCTCACCGCTGCAAGTCCCACCATCTGCCCTAGCCCTGCCTTCATCCAATGAATCACCAAGTCCTGTGGACTCCCCCTCCTGACCCTCTCTCAACTCTTGACCAGGTAGGTCCTCCTCATGTCTCCCTTCCGCAGCTTCCGTCTGTCCTGGGATAGAGTCTGAGTTGTCAGTATGACCTCCAGGCCCCCACAGTGCAGCCCTTGCCCACCTCTCCCAGCTCATCTCCCCTTTCACCAACCCACACTTGTCCGACAGCCACCCAAGAAGGCTTTCCCACCTCTGGGCCTCAGCCATAGTGTTCCTGCCTGTTTGTGGGAATCCTACTCATCCACTGGAATCCAAATTGATTATCACGTCCTCCACGCAGCCTGCTTTGATTCCTTCACTGCTTGGCCCATACCTCCAGTTAGGCCTGTACCACACTCTGAATGCCACTGTTGTTAGTTGGTAATGCAACTTCCACTGGACTATATGCTGAGGTCATGTCTTAGTCACCCCAAAAGTCCCATGCCTGGCACACTGCAGGGCACAGAGTGGGGGCTCACTATGTATTTACTGAACTGCACTCACTTGGCCTTGCTGGGAAAGGAGTGCCAGAGCTGGTGGGCATGGCTGCTTCCCAGACCCAATCCTTGGGGACGTCACTCCCTACTTTCCTTCAAGTCCCTTCTCCCAAAGCAGAATGAACTGCTCTGTAAAGCCAGTTCTCCCATGGCCCAACTCTGGGGCACAGAGAGGAGAATCAGAAGCTGCTAGAACAGTGGACCTTGGAAGTGGCCTCAGAGAGCCCCTAACACAACTGTCTCTTCTTGATCTGTGAACACACACAATGGGTGACAATCATGTGAGACACACTCCTCTGAGCAGCCCCAGATGTCAGCTCTGGTAACAGACAGGGTGGTCCATGCAGTGTGCACCGCTCCCTGTGCACCAGCTGTCACCAACCCCCTAAGCCCCTAAAGGAATGCAAAGGAAGGAGAGTGACATTATAGGGATAATCTTGATCCTGTAATATTTAAAAAAGAAAAAAACGCAAACTTTTGATAATTTAACTATTACTAGTCCCACATCCAGGATAAGAACTGCTGCTATAATCCACTCCTTCCATTTTCCAGAGGACAAAAATTAGGCATACAGAGAGGCCCAGAGAGGGGAAGCCAGGTACCCAAGGTCACCCAGCAAGTTAAAGCAAAGGGCAAAGGCTTCAGATCCGGCCCTGGACACGGGGACTCTTGGGACTCAGGTGGGAGTTATCTGGCTGACACACTGATGTCCTGCTCCAAGCCTCTGTCTGTACACTTCAACTCCTGGACTCCAGACCCAAATGACAAAATGGCCCACTGGAGCTCCCCAACTGGTCTCTCAGGCACCTCAAACCCAGTCCGTCCCAGTGAACTCACTCCCCACCCCGGCCCCACCCTGCCACCCCACAACCTGCCTCTCACCCAGTTTACCTTATTTCAGTGCCAGGTGCCACCATCCACTGGATGCCTATGTCCAAAGCAAGGAGTCATCCTCAGCTCCTCCCTCTCCTTCACCCAGTCACCCACCAAGTCCTTACTCTATCTCTTCAGCATCTCTGGAATCTGTCTGCTTCTCTCTGCCTCTGCTGTCATGCCCTAGTCCCGACCTCCACCGCCCCAACTGCCCTCCTGCTGTGGCCTCCTATCTGACCCCCTTGCCTCCACCCTCACCCTTGCCAATCCTGTCTCCATACAGCAGCTAGGGTAATCTTTGTAAAAGACAAGTGTCCCCTGCTTAAAAGCCGTGGTTTTGCTTTCAAGGCCAGAATGACGGGTCAGTCCCTCATCCTTCTTGCTTCACCTAACTCTTATGTGAAATTCAAGTCCCAGTTGAATGTCACTCCTCTGGGAAGCTCTCTAACTCCGCCCCGCCCCACCCCACATCCGCACCCACCTTGGTCTTGCCCTGCAGGCTCTTGATGGCAGCCTCTGCACAGAGATAGAAAGCCCCGATGCACTGTGCCTCCATGCGCGATGAGTCGAGCAGCGGCACGAGGCGCTGCAGGTCGTCGGGCCCGCGGCCTTGGCTGGTGTCGCTGGCGTCCACCAGGCAGCGGGCGAAGCGGCCGGGGTCCAGCGAAGCCACGAGCGGCTCCACGAGCGCCAGCGTGCCCGAGCGCTCCACCTCGCGCTCCACCTCCTTGTTGGTTGCCAGCACCGCCACAGCGAGGCAGGCGTGCAGCCGCAGCAGCTCGTCCTCTTTGGAGAAGGCGAGCGGGAAGAGCCACTCGGCGGCGCGCTTCTCCACCATGCGCCGCTGCGCCGCCTGGCCCCCGTGCAGCGCGCAGTTGGCCAGGGCCAGCGCACAGTGGCGGAGCAGCGCCGGGTCCATGCGGCGGCACCAGTACAGCACGGCATCCAGACCGCCGGCCGCCACCAGCCGCTGGCACGTCTCCTCCGAGTGCTTGAACATGTGCTCCAGGATGCCTGCCACGCTCCGCGCCAGCTCCACCGGCTCGCGCTCCTTTGCCAGGTTCAGGATCACGCCCAGCCCGATGCGCGCCACCCGGTCCCTGCCGAGAGAAAGTAGGAAGGGGCATGGTAGAGTTGCCGCGGCCTGGGGGGCTTGGGCGCCACGGCCTGGTCACTTATCTCTCTGGGCCTCACTAGCGTCATATAGGACATGAGGGAGAGCATTATCCTCCCTGACCTCGCCCCCCCCCCACCCCATCTCCTGCCCTGGGAGGATCAGACTTCTCTGATTCTAAATGTGCTTCATCCTGGCTGCACCCATTCCCTCCAGTAAACCCTCCCCTGGAGAAGTAGTCTGTGTAGTGGTTAAGGACCCTAGCTCTGGAGAGGATCCCCTGGGGCCTGGTTTCTTCTTTGCCATTTTCTAGCTGTGGGACCTTAGGTACCTTCCTTTATCTTCTATTTCAGTTTCCTCATCTCGCAAATAGGTTAAAAAGAATGCCTACCCCACAGGGTTATTATGAGAACTAATGTGATAATCCATGTACAGTGCTCAGCACAGCGCCTGGCTCGTAGGAAAGACTCAACAAATGTTAACTTCTTATCCTCATTTGAAGTGTCCCTTGAAACGCACCACTCTTAGCCTTCCCTTCAAACTTCTCTCTTGAGGACCTACTGTGTGCCAGGCACTGCGCCAGGGGCTGAAGTTGACCAGTCACTAAGAGTGACTGGAGCTTATACACAGTGTATATGGAGACAAACAGTAAGCAAGGAAAGAATGAAGGAACAGGATAACAGTGATATGGCCACAATGCTAGCAAAAAGTGAGGTAATGGAGAGTGCCTGGGTGGAGGACTGTGTCTGAGGAGGTGACATCTGAGAGTGAAATATCCAGAGATCGCAGCCTGCAAGTATCTGGGAGAAGAACCTAACAGGCAGAGAGAACAGCAAGGACAAAAGCCCTGAGGGCTGATGACCTTGGCATGTTTGAGGAACAGACGGAAGGCCAGAGATATCTGCAAAGTCTAAAAGCAACAAGGAAAAATATAAAACCAACAAGGGATTCATATATAGAATATATAGCTAAATATTCAAATCAACAAGAAAAAGGCAGTAAATCCAATAGAAAATGGGCAAAGGACAAAAGAGGAAATCCAAAATATTAACCAGCAAATAAAGAGATGCTCTAACTCATGAGTAATCAGAGAACTGAAAATTAAAACAGCTATTGCTTTACATCTATTAGGGAAAAAGTAGAAGCTAGGTAATACGGAAGGTCGCCAAGATGCGGGGCCGTGAGTGCCCTGAAGCACTGTGGGTGGAGGGGCAGTCTGGGGCAGTCAATTTGGAGAGCAGGCTGGGACGAGTGGGTGAAATTAAGGAGACTCACACCTTATGAGCCAGAAATTGAGGCTCTTGGGTTTATATCTCAAAGAGATTGTCACACAGATACACAAGAGGACATAGACAAGGCTGATCACTGCAGTGTTACTTGTTATAGGGAAATTGGGGGCAGTCCGGTGTCCAGCCTGGGAAAGTGGAGAGGGAACAAGGGCAGGTGCCCACTCTGGAGGACTAGGAACCAGTTACAAGTGATTGAGCAGATGATGACACAGCAACATGAAGGATATTAAAAACATAATGCTGAGTGGGGAAAAGTAAGAAATAGAATGTGCTAGATAACAGCACCGTTTGTGTAAATTAAAAATACATGCACACAACACAAGAATAAAGATTTTACCAGAACACAGATAGAAAGATACACATTAAATATACTGAACCGTTGCCTATGGGATTAAGTCAAAAAGATGGTGGAGACATTAGTCCAGATGAGAAGCGGGGATTGCATTCTAGGCATAGACGTACACAAAGGCTTGGAGACGTCTGAAAGCTGGTGCACTTCGGGACCTGCCCCCGCCTCAGACACACTGAAGTGAAGCCATTTCAAGTGACTCAGGTGGGGGGTTCAAGGGGAGAGTGTGGAAAGAGTCCTGAGGGCCTTTTGAGCCATCTCAAGGCATTTGTACTTTATCTTGATGGCAAATGGGGAGCTATTGAAAGGCTTCAGGAAAGGGAGTGACCTGGTCACTCTTCCTGTCTTTCTGACTTCCACAAATGATGTCTTCCACAGGTGACGTTACCCCCAAAGACATAGAGGCCCAGCCAGCCATGGAGTCATTGCCCAGTGAGCCCCACAGTGACCACAGTGCTATGACTTTGCGTCTACTGCAGGGCCCAGCTGAGCCCAGAACGTGGCATAAGGCCAGCACAGTTTTGCTGAGCTGATCACTGAGCTTCTCTGGAGTCTGAGGGACCACTGGGTCCTAATCATCCACTCGGGCAGCCAGCGACTGTTCCTTTTACCAACGAGAAAGCCAAAGCTCAGAGAGGTTATGTGACATGCCCAGGTTTACACAGCTGGTGAGAGGCATCGCTGGAATTTGAACTCACATCGGTCTCCAGAGCTCAAGATCCTTGTCTGTACTTTGTGCTTCCAGAACAATCTGACTACACAAACCCTGAGACTGTCAGAACCAGGATGTGCTTATGCAATCATCTAATCCAACACCCTCATTTCCTGAGGACCAGTGAAGGGAAGGCTTGCTCAGGAGCATCAATTCAGAGAAAAGACTTCATTCTGAGTCTCTTGACCCCCGCCTTCACTTTTCCCTATGCACTTGGCACCTTTACAGAACTTGAACTGTGTGCTTGTTGTGAGGACTATTCACTCAGCTCCCAATTCTTCTGCAACCTGAGAGGCTGTGGGTCTGGGTTCAAATCCCAGCTCCAAAGGAGGGAGAAATTGTTTGTATACAATTTGTATACAAATTGTTTGTATACAAATATACATATTTGTATATTTGTAAATCTGTATATTTGTAAATATGTATATTTGTATATACAAATATACAAATATTACATATACAAGCATGTATATATAATATAAATATGTATGCAAATACTTGTATATGCATAGACTCTGGAATGACATGCAAGAAACTTGTTTCACTGGTTTGCCTCCAGGGAAGGGATCTGGGTGGAAAGAACTTTCAAGTGTGTATCTTTTTTGTACCTTTGCACTTTTTGAATTTATGTGCAATAGTTTTCTGGTTTTTTAAAAACCTGTCTCCTCCACTTATTCATGGTATATTCTTGGGAAAGCCATTCAACCTTTCTGAGTTAAACCATTTAACCTCATTATGGTCCCCTGATGGGGATGGGCTGTGAATTTCGAAGGCTAACAGTCACATGGGGCCCTCCCTGGCTGTCGTGGGACCAAGCTCAGAGGGCCCTCTACTCTTGGGCTTCTCCTGGCATTTGGGGGTGAGGGAAGCTATGACTTAGGCTCCTGGTCAGTGGCTGTGGCAGCACCCTGGGAAGAAGAGAGCTGCGGGAAAGGGAATAGCAAAAGGAGGGGGTACCCTGATGGAACATCCTACTTCAAGAGGAGGTTGGTTGGTGGAGGAAGGACAAGATTTCATAGACACAAATTCTCAGTGTGTCACTCCCCTTCTCTCCCTTCCACCCTCCTCTCTGCGCAGTCTAGACAGGTGAGGAGATGCTGCATTTCTTTGGGAAGATTTTGATCGCGACCAGGTGCGCTCAGCTCTGTCCTTGGTCCTGAAGTGATGCTGGCACCACACGTTGTTTCTTGGGACCAGGGACACTGGTTAGTGCGACTCCTTTCTCAGTAATTCTGAACCAGGTGGGCATTATTATTTTCAACCTTGAAAAATAGTCTTATTTGCATTTTGCAGCCCTCTTCTTCCTAGGGTGTTGGCTGCACCCATTCCTCAGGAGTTCTGCCGCATCCCACACACCAGGCCTACAGGGCACACCCGCCAGCCTGAGCCCACCACATCCAGTGAGCACCCACTCCGTTTGTGATCCCTTCAGATTTATGGCCCATACCCATCAGGACACTTGATGTTATATGGGAGATTAATGACTTGCTGAACAAGCAGAACCACAGTGCACTTCGGGACCTGCCCCCGCCTCAGACACACTGAAGTGAAGCCATTTCAAGTGACTCAGGTGGGGGGTTCAAGGGGAGAGTGTGGAACTTGGTCTCCCACCTTAAATGGCTTCATTCATGCATTTTTGACAGTTGCATCATTTCCACCATTCACAAGGTTATTTTTACTTTTTGAAAATGGCAAGGAAAGCACCCCTGACCTATGCCCATCACACTTGTGAGAGCTGGATGAACTGAAAGTGACCCTTCTCAAACACTTCTAAACCTGAGGGTCCCAGGAATTCAGCACAGGACTGGAGTGTGACAGTCTGGTCTGCTCTGGTATCTGAGGGGAGAGAAAGTGAGTGCTCATGGGTCCTCATATTCCAGGGAAGATCCCAAGAGGCAAGCAAGAGTGGAAGCCAGGCCTCAGTTGGACCCTGCCTACTGTCTCTTGGCCCTATGTGGGGACAGGGTAGAGAACACATACTCTGTCTGGCCCCTACCTAGCTCCGCACCTCAGTTTCCTCTTCCCCCACCCATTCAACTCAGCAGCACACCTTCTGTTCCCCATTAGCAGTAGCAGAATGAGATCATGTCTGGTCTGTTATGTAGACCAAAATGAAGAAGGAGGAAGCAGGAGGCAGACTGGGAGTGGTACGAAGGGGACGAGTAAAGTGAAATGAAAGTCAGCAGTCACTTCAGCCTGGAGAGAGAGGAAAGGCAAGGACCCCCCCCACACACACACACTTTTTCTGAGCATTGTGTTCTCTTCCTCGCTCAGTGGCAGAGAGAAGGTAGCACAGAAGGGCATCCAGGCCCGTGGGAAGAGGGGCTGTGGGTTTAGGGGGGGCATTGGCAATAGGATCCCATCTCCATCCTCAGAACCGGGGACAGATTCCTGTCCTACTACTCCATTCTTCCTCTCCCTGTCTCATTCCTCACCCCACTAGCCCTGGGAGTGAATCCTGGCTGCACCATTAGTTCATTGTGTGACGCTGAGCAAGTCATTAAACTTTCCCAAGCCCGTTTCCTCGTTTGTAAAATGGACACGCTGATCCCCAACAGGGGTGTAGTGCAAGGATTTGGTGACCGGAGGCGGGAAAGGCACAGTGCGAGTCACGCGAGAGACCCAGGCACTCGACCGCCCTTGCTGCCCCACAGCCCCCCGCGCTCTCCCCCCAGCCCGGCACCCTCACCGGTTCTCAGCCACCAGGATCTGCTCCAGCAGGCGCGCGGCCTGAACGCGCGTCTCCAGTTCCGGCGCCTGCAGCAGCCGCAGCAGCAGGTCGAGGCCGCCGTCCAGGCGGATGGCGTCGCACAGACCCTGGGCTACCTCGCGGCCCACGGCCGGCAGCAGCCAGGCCTCCTCCACCAGCTGAAACACCTCGGCCAGGCCGGCGCCCACGGCCCGCGCGCCGCCC